TTAGACGTAAAACTGTGTTTAGACGTAAAACTACGTTTAGACGCAAACTGCACTGCGCTTAGACGCAATCTGATCTTAGACGCAAACTGCGCTTAAACGCAAACTGCGCCAAACTGCGCTTAGACGCAATCTGCATTTAGACGCAAACTGCATTTAGACGCAAACTGCGTAAACTGCGCTTAGACGCAAACTGTGTTTAGACATAAACTGTACTTAATCATAAGTATTCTTAGAATCGGCTTTTGCATCAAAATAGTTTTTATCAAACGAACGCAGCTTTCGTTTTTAATCGCTGAAAGATTTCCACTGCACTAATTCACCCCCCCTCCCCCCCCCCCTCTTAGTGCTCTCGATCCTAACACCTTGTGCCCCTACGACCCTTTTCTTTAACCCTTCAAGTATAGCTCGGTTGGTGACCTCGACCAAGCCATTGGTCTAGGGTGTGCCACTGAACTGAACATCAGTTGAATCTCGTGGGACTAACAGAACCATTTAAACTTTGAGTTATTAAACTAGGTTCCATTATTGGTAATAATGGCCCTCGAGATTCCAAACCTAGTAATTATGTTTTTCCAAACAAATCCCTCCTCCTGCTTCTTCGAGATGGTCGCTAAAGGTTCAATTTCTACCCATTTGGTGAAGCAGTCTATACCAACAATAAGAAACTTTCGCTACCCCAACACAGGTGGGAACGGTCCCAATAGGTCGATTCCCTACTAGGCAAATGACCAGGCATTGTCGATCGAGCTTAGCAAGACTATAGGTTGGTGTTGCACCCAAGCGTACTTTTGGCATCGTTACAACCTCTACACATAGGCGATCGCATCCATGCACATGGTTGGCTAATAGTAAACTTGTTGGAGGACTTTGAAGCCTCGGAGTATGGTCTTCAATGTATTCTTTGTAGATCCCTTCATACACATCGGCTAGAGGGGTTAGCCGAAGGACCTTTGATATAGTCGACCATTGACTTCATAATACTAGGCTTGGGTGTGCTTTGAGTCCATGAGCCACGATGGAATCGATTTTCTTCTGAATCATACAGATGTCAGGGTGTGTGTCACGTCGGCCCAGGAATATTCTCTGCCATCTAAGTTAAATATTATGGGTGATAAATTCCACCGGCAAATACTCATGGGGGTGGATATGTCCATGATTAGTACAGTTTTATCAACTCGGGACAGCATAGCATGCCTGCATTCCACCCATTTAATCTGTTGGGACAGCATGTGTCTATTCCACTAATTTAATCCGTTGTAAATGTACTGTTCTCAAACTGAAAGAATAGACACAGAGAGTGAGTGGCCTTTATTTTTCTATTTGGGGAGGAAGGCCAGTCCTTTTCAGCTTCGACTGACTCACCTGTTGCGGTGGAGGGGAATTTTGTATTGGTCGCCAGCCACGGGAACCGCTGGGGTTGGTCAGGTGGACAACATGTTCTTCCATACAACTCGGCAATTTAGGATGCAACCCCAAAAAGCTTCACTAAGAGTGCGAATAGAACTTGGAATCCTAACACAAAACAAGCAAAGCATATTGCAAAGGAAGAAAAAAGCAAATGTGCCCCACTCTGTGCGATTAGCGTGCGCATAAACAAGTCTAGCTGCTGCAAAAAAACTATGGAAAGTGGAGATTATTGGACGCTACATGAGTAACAGTGTTGATTCAGCAATGAGCAAATTTGTCCGAGACAATATAATCCAGCAAATATGATATCAAAATCATCAGATATTGCTTTCTCTGAAAATAATCCGGAGATGGTTGGTTGTACATGAATGATATAGACTATCAACAGGGAATAAATCTCATAGAACACAATGCACTCGAGGGCAATGCCACCAAGTATAAGTAGTTCAAGAATAACGACAACCACTGTTTTGTGGTTCTTTTCTGCTCCCCACCCCACCTCCCTTTTTTTTTTTTTTATTGAACGCAATGCCACCAGTCAGATTAAGAGCAATCACATCATTCCTTATCTACCTGTCTTCACATTATTGACTACAATTAATTCACACAGTCTAGCCAGTGTACTCCCAAATCTTCAATGAAGATATTTAAATGATTATGTCGGAGGTTGTACGCTACCAGAGCGCTTTCCGGGAACAAAAACTAAGTCCGGTTGGCTTAGCATTCGAGAACATAATATGTGAAGCTTGCTAAGAAAGAGGTATTGGACCAAATGGAGGCAAGCAACACTGCTGGTTCGAAGGGGTAGCCTTCCTGAAGATGAAGGCGGATGTTGGATCGGCTTACATAGTTTTCTCATACAAGGCAGACCCCTACTCCGGTTACATACACGAAGTAATATGCTCGAACCAGTGAGTGATACATTATGCTCTTAACATTAAAGGTTCTGTCAGAGGCCCTAAGAATATGTATTGTGAGGCAAAAGGACCCGGGCAAAATGGTCATCCATGGACCCAAAGAGCTCCATGGAAAGAGCACGCGAGCTCTGAACTCGGTGCACTCACCATAACAGAGAGAGAGAGAGAGAGAGAGAGAGAGACTGAGGAGGTCCAAGCAAACGAACCTCAAAAGAAATGAAGGGATTGGGGACGAGGTATTCAAACTGTCATGTAGCATCACGACCCTTTTCTTTCTCACATTCATGGCCGGGCTTTCACTTGCTTCAAGGATGATAAGATTCTTCTACCACCATACCCCAAGCATATACCGCCCCAGTTAGCGTTCCACAACGATTCGCACTTTTACTCTTTTCTATCAGGCATCATCCACTGCTCACTCACTTGAAACAACAGTCCAGCCCACCTCACCTCCTCCTCTGTAGTCTCTACCCCTCTTCGCCTTTCCCTACCTTTATTTCTTTGCTTGGCATGTTGCAGATGCCTCGCCATAAATGTCTCGCTGCCCTCCTGTGGCAGAACCATCTCTGTAGCTCTGGCAGTTGGATGCTGTAGTGCGATAGGCGCATGGCCTTCCGCCCCGACAATGTCAATGAGAAGCCTACCATCTCTCTCACATCCAGCATACATTCCAGGGATTCGAAGGAGAAGCACGGCCTCAGAGGCTTTCCCTTTCGGCTGCTCCGGAGCGCACGTGTCTCGGCGGTAAGATTCTTCCGCCTTCTCGATACCAGGACGTCAACGGCCCTGCACCTCATCTCCAGAAGCAGAAGACAGCCACCGTCCAATGTTTACGCCGACATGACTCCACAGAGGTTTGCTCCTCCTGGAGATTCTCACCTGTCGGAGGCCCTAGAAGACTGCATCAAGTTCCTCAACTCCTCGTCGAGGAGGTCGTGCTAGACTCATCCTGCAAGCAAACTTTATGGGTAGCAGCTCGACCATCAATTTTCTATTAGCTTTGTACCACACAAGCACACTACCAGCTCTCTCCTCTAGAAACGGTTCTGCTGTGTTGACTTTTTTTCGACTGTCAGGCTTCCCCCATCTGGTGTTGAATTCCGTGTTTCCAGTTCGAGATCTGCCAAAGACAAAACCAGAAACTAAAGTTATTGAGAAAATGCTGAAAGGAACTCTTTTTCCCTGTTGATCTTTTAATTTTGAAAAAGGAAAACATGCCTTGAAAACTAAAAAAATAACAGGCCAGAGGGAATCCTAAAAACAACTCTTTCAATTCCATCGGAATCAGATACTTAGACTGCTTAAAATTGTTAGCTTACAACAAAATGTATCAGAAGCTGACAAAAAAAAAAAAAAAGAAATGCCACCGGAACACGCTCTTACAGCCTCTGAACCTCTGTCTCAATTACTAAATTAAAGCTAGAGTTTACTCATCGGAGTTGAGAGAGAGCTTGTCAATTTCTAGAATCCCATGATTGGCAGCTTTCTTGAGTTCTAGTGCAGTTTTATACGGAGGAGCAATGGGAGGCTGTACGGGATCCAAACTCTTGTAACACCCACCCTCTGAAGAATGTGGAAGCGGGTATGATCGATCAGAATCATACCCATTGAGGTCACCACACGCCAAAAATGGAATATAAACCTTGTTTGGCCCCTCCAACCACCCACTTCGGCAGTCTGTAATAGAAACATGATGTTATCCAAGAAAAACCTTTTTAGTTGAAGACGCATGAAACCTCACAGGAACAACATCTTGACAAGGATGTTTTACCAACCCGCTAAAACAAGATTTTCAAACTTAACAATGGAAAATTCATTTATCATATTTCCTTTATTGTAACATGACTACATATAGAAGTTCAAGACAATAAAAATAAGCACATACAGAGAATGACAACTCATAAATAATCTACTCAATGGAATATCATGCAACAAATGACAAGGGCAGGCATAAAGTTTTTCCTCCAGTGATGTAACAGAAGTGTGAAAGCATAAAAATTGTCTAAACACATATGATTGTTGACCAAGTTAGGAATATTCCTAACACTTTATTGCGCTTAAATCATCAATTTGTATCATAATGAAAGCGTTGCCTCTGTACATTTTTGTGATACTTGACAATTGGCATGCCATAGAAGACACTTGTGGACATTCAAGTAAACAAAAGAAGTACCTCTTTGTTGAGAGCACATCAAATTTTTGATCTGTTATTATTTATACCAGCAAAGGTCAGTTTCTCTCTTCTGGCCATTGTGCCAACATATCCTCTGTTATATTTCCATTGAAGAGGTACTTCTTGGTTGATATAGCTTATAAATCAACAGAATTTACTGCGCTAGTTGACATCCAATGAAATCTCATGATTAACTAATAAAGCCTATTCCTAATTAGGTCAACAATCAATCATGGTGTGGACATGCAAGTAAACAAAAGAAGAAATGTGTCGTGAGAAGCATATCAATACAGTCAAAGGGTGTTCTTCCATCCTTTTAATCGTTAAATACCTTGCTGATATCAGATCTCCAGTGGCTTGTACAGTCAAGAAAAAAAGGATTTATTTCATATCCATCTTTTTTACTTATACAGTCAAGATTTTTTCAAGTTAATTGGGGAAAAAATGAATATGCAACCACCATAAATGAAACAAAATAAATCATGCACTGTATAAGTTCAGTGAGTAGCTGACCTAAATCTTCAACACCAGAAGGACTGCCAATTTTTTCCAAAAGATGATACAAATCTTTCTCACTGAATCCTTCAGGAGGTGAATAGTTCTCACAAACTGCAAATGCCTCTGCAATAAAGATATATATAAATATATATATATATAAGAAACTTGGCAGCCTAGAACTATCATAACATGCATATTAAACAAGCAAAAGGTTTGGTTTGGTTTTGTTTCAGTTTTCATAATAGAATATTTTTTAAGATACTGTCATATAGAATTGGAGAAGTGGCATGATTCCCAAGGACCCCACTGGTTGTCCCACCCTTGTCTTCCTCTGATCACCTCACTTACATGTTTATGCTGGGACATCTCTCTGACACAAGTATTGCTTGTATAGAAACAATGCCAACTTTCTTAGTTTGGTAGGCCTGTATTTTCACACCCCTAAATGGTTATATGGTATCTACATAAAATAAGGTATACACCATATCACACGATAAGATATGCAAGCTGGGACCATATTGAAGTTTCATCACCAAATTTAAGTAATAATTGTATAAATATCTTTTCTAGACACATATGCCCTGGATTTACAAAATAACCATTCCCATACAAAAGAAAATTGAAAATATAACTTCCCTAATCAAGTTCATAATTATAGTACAAGGTCATTGTATATTCCTGACCGGTATTATATAAATGAGTTTGCTATACACCTCTGCGGAGATGGTCGCAAAGCACAAATGCTCCAGAAATCAGCATAAGCAGAACAAGAGGTCAAATGCATTGGACATAAAGAAGGTTTTCATAACATCCAAGTAAAATGAATCATGTAAATTCATGCATATCCCCATGTGCAATCACAGCATAATATCAGATAGACCTGTGCATCTCAATCCTTTCAAATTTAAGCATCCATATAGCAGCCACATACTGAAGGACCAGTATGCGGAGTGTATGTAAGAACCTCCCATAAAATACCAACGAGCATGGTACACAGGTGTATGCCAGGTAAGTATACTCGTCGTCGATCTTAATCAGCACATGGTGTGCAACAAACATGATCAGCATTTATCAATTGTATTATCCAAAGGACCTTTGAAGATGGCACAGTACTATGGTTGCACCATGTGACTAATGTTAGCACGATATGCAATACTTCAATCTTTGATTGCAAATGTATTTATGGAAGCCCCACACATGTAACCCAGTAACAGTGAAGGTGAATGACCAGTAATAAGTCGAGCTAGTTGGCTACATGCTAACAGTCCATACAAACTTACAGGGATAACATCTAAAATCAGCCCAAATATCAACTTAGTCACACGGTGATGTAAAAGGCATTTCCACAAGGACATGTTGCCTTACCTATACTTGAGTTACGGCTACTTTTTGGCTTTGCAAAGGTAACATGAGAAAAAAATAATTTCAGCTGCATAAGAGAAAAAAACATTCAGTTAATAATGCTGTAAACAGTATGTGAAAAACAAGCAATATTTAAGAGAGAAGAAACAATAGGAAATAATAAGGTTGTTTTTATTGAGCATAACTTCTTTATGCGTTTACAACAAAACTTTTCCCTGAATCCTTATGAATCCAACAGAATTTTTTGAAATTGTTCCATTGGTGCAACTAGAGAACCCCATATATCTTCTTCCTTGCTTTTTCCTTTATTCCACAATAGCTTCCTATATCCTTAGTGTTCTCCTTGCAGTGTATCACAAATAGCTGATCATGCAAGGAGTTTCATCCTCAAAATGAATTGTAAGTAGATAATTGCATGTGTACCTCTGCTAATTACAGTGTTTCCTCTATCTCTTGGAAGTTTTGAATACCTAATGTACACAGTTTCAAAATCCTATGACAAAGCTGCAACTCCAGTATGTTTGGATTGGTTTGGGGGCTTGCAGGTAAACCCAAGCCAAACCTGATCGCCATGTGTGCTGCATAACATGATCTAACACACTAAGCTACCACAAAATCTATTTCAACTTTCACTATCAAGTTTGCAATTAAGCTCAACCAGATATAGGCTTCCTCTAGGTGTACTTAGCCAGATACCTTGTAAAGAGTCTAAACCAGTTAATTATTATCTCCAGGGCAAATGATCTGTCTCAAATCCAAAGATACATAAGAAAGCACAATAAGTTTGTGGGGACTTAATAGTCTTTGTCAGGTCAAAATTAAGAGCTTAATCTGATGAACAAGAAATGAAGTAATAAATTAAAGATTAATACTATCATCTTTAAAAGAATGACCTCTTTTTATATCAACTGATCTTAGCAATAAGAAGTTTTATACTCCATAACTCGTCAACATTAAGCACAATTCCTAAGAGTCCGTCAATCAGTTAGAGTGTTTAGTCAAAAACCAAGATAGAAACAATGCTTGTAACCATTGATGAGCTCCATAAATGACTTTGTCACATAAAGTTGCACTGAAGATCTTTTTTCTGAAAATTAATCTCCCTCAGTTGTAGCCTCACTGTCAATCTTCAGTTTTCCTAAAAGTTAATATTGTGGACTTGAATAGATGGTATAACAATACGCTAATTTGATGTCTGCCTTTTTCGTGGCTTTTATTTCTTGCAGTGGTCAATTGCTCTCTACGGCAAAAGATCCTCATTGAAGTTCACTATGAAATGAGGCAGGCAAATTGTCAAAATCATGTACTATGTTGTAGAATTTAACATAAGGCAGGTATCAAAAAGATAAAGGGATTTTACCAGGCATCCAACAACACAATACCTGTTTAACTTTTTAATATTTAAAGTCTCACATCTAAAGAAAGCATATTTTTTTGTTTCCTTTTTCAAATTGAGATGTTTAGAAAGAGCAATTGGGAAGGAGCAAGTATAAGAAGCATCTTACTTGGCAATAGAGAAGACTTGTATCTTTACCCCGAAATATCTTTGCAATGAATTTTCCACCAACTCGAAGTACATGAGTAACGATTGTTAGTGCCTATACATAAGACAACCAATAATGGATTAGCCTTTTCAAAATGATACAACAAAGTGTAAAACCTTCAACAACTTCACAATAAATTTCATGCAACATTCTACAACTAATCCTATACAAAGTGAACAAGACTGAATCTAAGAGTCACCTAGAAAGCACTCTGGAAATACAGAAGTTGGAAGTTAAGCCCTCCATGTTTATAGTATTTTATCTAGAATTTTAAGACAAAATAATTTAATTGCAGATATAGACAAGAGGGATCCAAAGTTGTTATGTTAAGAAACAATGAAATGCCAAGTAGACATTATTACTTCTAGAGTATTCACTGTCCTATGCTGGTTTTGATACTGCTATTAAGTAGAGTGGTAGTACCAAGAGCAAGTTCAGTATAATTCTTCCTATAATAGAGGGGGATCACATGAAGCACTTCTGCTTGTAGTTTCCTAGAAAATCATGACTCAAATTTTCCTGTTCTAATCATGCAATGAAAGTAACTTTTTATGATGTAGCAGTGAAACAAACTGACAAGAGATATACAGGGTCAACCTAAATTGATTTGGTGTATAAAACAGAACTAAGACTTCTATATACAAGAACGGGTGAAGACTAACACATTCATTTTATTTTAGTCGAGCTAAAGCTTTTCCCTAATTTTGCAAGTTAAACCACAATACAAACCATCTTACAAGTCTATTTTTCTCAATAGTGTTAAATCTAACACTCCAGATTCAACTCAAGCATGACCAAGATCCATAATAAAGAATGAAATCCAACAAAAAAATGTTCAAACCATAGATCAGCTTGGGCTTGGTCTATGTATCTTTATGAAAAACAAGCCTACTTCATCTGTTTGCATCTTTTATATGTTTTTTTCCAGTTTCCATTTTGCCCAACAAAAAAAACAAAATGAAACATGTGTGAAAGAAAATAGGTATCCCAATCAAACAGAAGCCACAAATAAATTTCCTAACTATTAGAGAAGCTGCTTGCTTCACTCCAGCTAACATGAAAAGCACCAAATTTGAAAATCAGCATGAGTTTTTCATCAGATACACTATTGTACTAGAATCCCAAAACAAAATCATGGTAGAAATATTTTATAAATGAAAATTTAAAAATAACGTCTCAGTCCATGTATGAAGTGTAAATCAATACTCCATCACAAAACCAACCATGGGATCATTAACATGGCATAACATGGTTAACAAAAGGTAAGGATCCTAGTAAAGACTTTATGCCTAAGATAGTGGAAGAGCAAGTATTAGCTAGTAAGTGATGGTAGTAAATACTATATTTAAGAGCAATACTTCATGCCATCCAGTGGTAACAGCTATTCTGTCTTGATCTGCTTCTCATCTAACCAACAACTTTTGCTGCAAAATGATCCTACAACTTCGAGATGGTTTTCAGAAATTTTACTTATCAACCTAATTATCTCCAACATCAATAGTTCTTATTGCAGGAAACAGGCAATCCTCAGTCTGAGGGAACTCACACGTTTGAAACAGAAACCTTATTTTGGTGTTCAATCAATTTCATATTAATTTTTTTTGTCTGAATAAAGATTAGAAAAGTATGACATAAAAATAAGACAAACAATAAATAAGTTTGCACTTACTGCCAATATAAGTTGAGACTGAACAAATTCATCCATATCATGAAGACCAGTAACTGAAATAATTAAGAGATATGAACATATTAAAGACACTAATAACTGAAATGCAACAAAAAGTAGGAATGCATTAACTGTACTATATTTACTCTGTCTTACCATCCGGAGCACCATCACAGACAACCAAGTCTGCCTTGCAACCATCAAAATGTCTGATTACCTGGTAAGTGATCTCTTTTTATAAAAATGAATAATAATTCATAGTTCTGAAGCATAAATACAGGCACTTCCTAATGGTAATTTCCCAAAAGAGGATATTAAATATAAGAGCATTTCAGGAAAACCATATAAACAATGTGGCTAAATATTCAAAAATAATCAAGAAAAATATAATAAAGCTAAACCTACAAATAAAAATTAAGGTCAGAAATGAATAAACATGGGAAATAATCAAAACAAGACTTCCGAAAAATGAGTTGTCAGAAATGTGAACTTAAGTAATGTGATCACACAGCCTCGAACTAGAGAAAACAACAAGGAAAACAGCAACTTGAAGTTTCCTAACATTTTTAAGACTAAATGACATGAAAAACAAATTTTGACAAACTCGTTTAATCTGTTGCTCAAGAAAACCTTGCCACAGAATAGCTCACTATCCAAGCTTAGTTGCATGACTTAAGATTCATGACATTGTTATGGGAGAAGCATAAGATATTTGTCTAATTATTAAAATATATGTAAGTGGCAATGATTTGAATTTGAGTCCAATACTGGTTTTGGCCATTGGTCAGACCAGTATGGTACCAATATTCCACCATGTATTTCCCAATATCACCAAAAATAAATAAATAAATAAAATTAAACACCCAATCATTGTCAACTATATGTTAATACAAGTTGACAGATACCAATTTGAATGGTATTTGAAACCTTGAAAACAAGTGTCAAATAGAATTTTACCACTTCAGCAGTTCGAGCATTAGTAATATCACCCTGAACTTGAATAACACCATCTATAGGAGCCATAGGCTGTAAATCAATTGCAACAATAAGTGGAAGATCACTGTCCCTACAAAAAAAAAGTCAATGAATTGAGAAGCCATGCCAAGTATACCAAAATTTCAAGGAATGATTTAAAGTATCTGTGGTCTGTTCAAGATTTGATTGATCCTTTTTTTTATAAACTACTTTTGCATATTCTTCATTTTTTTCAAATAGAAATCCCTTCAATCAAAACCATCCCTCATTGTCTGAATCTTTCAATATGTATTACACCTTAATACATGAATTCTCAAATATAGAAACGACCAGCACAGTACCAAAGGTTCCTACAAGTGTGGAACCTGTAACTTTTGCATAGGTTCATAAACCTTTGTTGTCTTACAATCCATAGATTCACAAACCTTAATAATTAATATATTTAGAAATACATAACAATTAATTATAAAAAGAAATTCAGTGATGCAAAACAAGGCAGCCTCTTACCTGCAATCTGGTGACGATTTTGCTGGAAGATACAATCTTCGACTCAAGACCTGCAGATGTAAATGACTGAAGTTGACAATGACCAATCACATAGGAAACTTTCCAAGAAACAAGGAAATCATATCAGCTAATGATTTTTCCATTGAAAATTGTTACTCATGCTATGCAAAAACTTAACATTGAATATATGATGATGTGTACCATGTATCGGTTAACATACACCTATTAAGCACACACACAACGCTATAGGTGGAACAGTTAGCCATGACAGAAGAGATTTCAAACATTATTATGATTATTATAATGCAGTGAAGTACTTTCAAGACCAAATAATATGGTTTATTCATTTTACATTAGAGAGTGCTGGTTGATGTTGGTAATTGGAAACAGCGATTTCAATAGGCACTCGAGTGCTCACCTAGGTGCTCGGGCGAGACAAGGTGAGGCACGAGCACCTCACTTCATTTTCAGGCGCTTCAAAGAGGCGCCACCTGGGCGCTCGCCCGAGCCCAGGCGCTACGCGCTTCGGGCAAGCACCCGGGTTAAACCAAGCGACCAAACTAGCGTTTTAGGTCTAGTTCGATCTTCGGTGCTTTAGTTGGTTCAATCGAGCCAACTAAAGCACCAATATCAACCTTACAGCATCCCTCTCGCGACTTCCCCAACCCTAACCCTGCTCGCGATTCTGCCGTCGAGATTTCTTCTCCGCTATCGCTGCCACTGTCATTGCTTGTCGCTGCCACCATCGCTGCTCGCCGCTGCTATTGTCGTTGCTCGTCGCTGCCACTACCGCCACTCCCACTGTCACTGCTCTCAGTCAGCAGCCTCGGTCTTCCTCTTACTCACACTCTTCTCATTTCGATAGTATATTGTTAACAATATATTAACAATATACTACTAGCTGTACACTAGTAACTGTATACTGAATGGCGTTGATGTAAAATTGTATTGTTTTGAATTTTAAGACTTTTTGTTACTGTGACATTGTGATTTTGTACCTTAGATTTTATTAATTTAATAGCATTTTATTTAAATAATTATATTTATTAATTATATTATATATTTTTATATTTTAGTGCCTTGCTTCGCTCGAGTGAGCGCCGAGCGCCTCGAGCGTTTTTGGACCTTGGTGCCTAGTGCTTTTTAAATCACTGATTGGAAAACCTAGTAGAAGTTTTTCCTTGCATATGTAGACTAAGCGTTGATGGAGTGAGTTACATGCAAAAGAACTTTAAACAACCATTCAGTATTTCTTTCTATCAAAACCTGATGCAGAATATCGAAATATGATGGATGGAAGGGGATCTCACAATTCCAACAGGATTATCCAACGGCCTAGCTCAATCAGTTCAGATGACCAAGGAAAACCATCAAGGAGATGCATTTACAAATATATACCCAATATCATTCCTACTTCTAAATCAAAAAGATTACAAAAACAGGCTGGAGTAACCGGAGAATACATTAACGTCGGCTTCTGCATCTCTCTGCATCTCAAACAAACATAACAAAAAAACTGACCAAACACTGCATAGGTTATTTAGGCCCAGCTTCATATGCAAAGAAAGACCCAAGTTGGATTTTATTCTGCATGGGTCGACATTGCAAGAACCTTCCGACATATGAATTAAATGCACAAAATTGAACAATAAAGGCATGCATGTAAGATTCTTAAGAACAAACATTTCATCAAACAAGAGGAGTGGATTTTTACGCAGGAGAAGCCAGAAATAAAGCAGTCCATGTGAAATGCTAGTAAGCAGTTCAATAGAAAAAATGATAGCTCAGAAGGAACTCGTAATAGTGGATAAACCTTGTAATGTATGTTTTACAATGCACCAACATTAAAATTATTAGATAAAAAACAATAATGGAACTAGACCCAGTTGACATGTTTTGCTTAAAACAAAAAGTCATCAAGGAGCAATCAATAACGATAGAGGAGAGTTACTATGACCACTAACACCTAATATAATGATAAATATTCAAGAGTTATATATAGAAATCAAACGAATAGCATGGTTACAATCAGTCTTAAAACATACCTGACTCCAGCTGCCAGGAGCTGCACACAGATCAACTACGCGTTTTACTCCTGCCAAATCGGAATGAAATCTTATAAGGGTTATTCACAGTGACTGTCTTAGAATGAAAGTGAAACACATATATCTGGCCAATCCATAGGTAAAAAACCTATCAACTTTCTTTTTTTACTAATTGACCAGATTACATAGGTCAGCTAGATGCTACCAACTTTCCACCTGCCTAGGTGTTGTCAAAAAGATGAACCTCCAAAGATATGAATGTGACCACTCTGCCTAATACAACTAACTGGTCTAAAGGCAACTTTTCTAAGGAAATGGATTTAAGCTACTGCAATTTTAGGATATCAGAATGAATGCCCACATTTCTGTTCCTCTGTTCTCTATCTTTTATTTCTCTGCTACTTTCCTGGTATAACTGCAAAACATATTCCCACAGCAGAAAATATTTGGTTTTGCTCTTCCCAATGATATTTTTCTCATCACGGCAACACTTTTTGCTTGTCTTCTCTCTTACAAGAAAAAACTATGCTTGATTGATCCTTCAGCAGAAGCCTACTTTATTTGTTCCATGTTCAACAGCTAGTTCACCTGAATGTGCAATCTCCTATCAAACCTTCCATGTGACTTATTCACCATCACATCAGTACAAGTAGTATTTAGTATTGTTGGGGACAAAATGATGTGGCCAACACCTCGGAGCCTAATGACCAGGTCCAGACAACCAGCTATTGACACATTGCCATCCGATCAATACCACATGGCCGAATGTTACCCCATCTCAGGTTTGACGCAGAAGGACAATATTTTCGCCTGGGATTGACGCACCATGTTCTTCATAATTAGCGCACACCACGGAGGTAAAGGTTCCTAAAGACCACTATAAAAGGGCTCCTCAGGTACATTCCACACACACAACTTTTTACCTCTGAATTGTCTGAATTGTTTGATTTGGTTACTAACTTAAGCATCGAATGAGCATTATCAGAGACGTACTCGATGTAGTTTTACAGGGATTCAACTCAGTTCGGTGAAGCTCACCATGGAACTAACTCGAAGAAAGGGACTTGGTTGGATCTGAGCCAGTTTCCACATCAAACAACCAAAATCTGACTTAACAAGTATCGATTGATTGAATCAAAGTTTCTTGTTCGTTATATAATATTGATCTTGCATTTCTTTATTAGTGCTAGATTATTTTAGTGTTTTAATATGCAACACATGTATTATTAAGTCCATCATATACGTTATGGAGTACCTTGACCATCTACATGCTACAGTTGCTTCCTAAAACACTGGAATTAACATTAAAAGTTCCCTGCGGTACTTATTGTAAAGGTAGCAAGACAAGAAAAAAAAAATCTTCTCCTCAAAGTGAACAATTTCACTATGAAATTTTATCTTCCCCTTGGCTAAGTTGCACCAAACAAGAACAATTCCAAACTCAATACAATGCCCCCCCAAAAAAAGAGGGAAAACAGAAACGGACAATCAGTGCTTCTATTAAACATCAAACATGTTATTGTTATCACATTCCATTATGGTTTGTAGCTTATGCCAAAGTGTATCATTCCATGATAATATTCAAACAATGTGCGCTATACTCTTCGGCCCCACAATCTGGTTACATGCAATTTTTTTTGCTGATAACTGCATTAGATTGCTTTCCATAAGGTTTCAATCAAGAACCAGTATCCCGATACCTTGAGCAAACCAAACGACACGGTTGCCGTTTGATCCCGATGTTCTGTACGTGTTAGGAACAAAATTAGGGCAAGAAAATAAAAGCTCCACCCACCTTCAAAGATGTTGAACTCCTCGTCGATCTGAAGAAGCTTGAAAGCACTCCGCGCGCGCCATCCCTCCTCCTTTGCCTTACGGTAGTAGATATCCTGCAACTCATCGCGCACGCGAACGCGGAACCATCAACGGGACGGCGCAAAGGACAAACCAGAGCGAGCAAAGAAACCACCGGTGGGGTTAGATCGTACCCTTTTGTCCTTGGAAGCTTTTCCCATGCTCTCCGCCGACGCACGCTGAGAACGATGCACAAATCCCCGCTCCGCTCTATTACCGTCGGAGGAGACAGAGTAACGATGAAGCTTAGGGTTTTATAGAGGCGACCAGATCGGGCTCCGCGAGTCGGCTTAGGAGGACCCTGAAAAGTCATGATCAACGTCACCGCTCGCATACCGAACCGTTCACCGGTCCGCGGGTCATGAGAGACCGCATCAGCCGTGGAAAGGCGCATGGGTGTGCAACGTGCCCGTGACAAGTGTCGGTCCCAAAGATTCCTCTCGACAACTAAAGGGGGCCACCGGGCTGACGCAGTTAATCGTGAAAGCGTTCGTGAGTGACGTAACATGTCACGTGCTTGATGAGTGGTCTCGTTCACTGTGAGTCGGTCGATGCACTGCCAAATATATATGAGAAAGGAATTTTCTATCATTCGTTCAGATTCAAATTGATGCATTTAAACGGACACGTTTGAATTACTATATTAATAAATCTAGAAAACAAGAACATCTCTATAATATTTATCTAATAAAAAATAGAATAACACCTATTTTTATTGAGATTTTTAAAATGAATACACTGCACCAAAGTGTTCTTTAGGGATTGTGATTTTCTATGACCACAGTTATAAATATCTAACAGTAATGTTTTGATATGCATTTTATTAACTAATCTTTTATATTGAAGTTTTCAAAAACCACAACAATAGATGAACCAAAGAGTATGATTTAAATGACCAGAGGATACTGTGTGTGTTTTCGGCCATATAATCCAAACATGCCTTAAAAGTCTTCTTGTCATCGCTACTGAGACTCACAAATCCTGCTGCCACCGTCGCTACTGCCCGTTGCGGTCGACACTGCTATTGGCCCACTACTGTCGTCCTCGTCGCTGCCACCAGTGATACTTGTTCTCATCGGTGAAATCTCTAAAGTTAGTATTCCACCATCGCCTTCCGGATCTATCAAGTCAGCCCTCGATGTTTCACGTCTGTCGTCACCGTTGTTCTGTCGCTACCGCTCCATCGTCGCCGACTAGATCCGACTTATCGCTGCCTGCACGCTCTTATGTCCTCTCCTCCCTCTCCCCAAGATCGCTAGTTGGCGTACAAACTTGCGTTGTCTAATTGTTTGTGCATCTAATGGTACCTGTAGCCTCTCACTGATCTCGTTGGCTTCAGAACCACGACATATATCCAATCTAAGAGATTTAATTGGAGCTCCATCAAGATTGACCAATGCAGTTTTCTTTTTGTTTGGTAATATGGTTAGTACATGTCTCACAATGAGATTTTGAGTGTGATGAAAGTCACAGAATGATGCCAACAAAGTTAGCTTGAATTTGTAGGCTTTTATGACTCCACCAACATTGCAAATGTGAATATTGAAGTTATCATAATTATATATTAAGGTATCTTATTAGTTTGTTGATGATTAACATTCATATGCTCATATAGAATCTAACGGTTTAAATTTATCTGAGTATAGCTATTTATTTTATTATTATGGCTAATTTTCACATGGTAAAATTATCTATTACTGGGTTGACAATCATAAAAAAATAATTTATTAGTGTGGTTATCTTAGGAGGGTAAAATAGTGTACTACTGTGGTGATTCTCCTCCATAAGGAAAATTCATCGATTATTATGGTTGAAAAATCATAATAATAGGTCGGCCTCTACGTGAGGTTGTCAAAACTGCAGTATCCATCATCTATTATGTATAGATCTTGCTGCAGTGATATGAGATGAGATGAGAATATTCTCTTAATATGTTTGGTGATTCCCATTGATCCCAAAGCCGCTATAACAACGAAGAAAGATTAAATTTGTCTTACCAACTCTTTAAGTCGTTAGTAATATGGGACTTATATCAGACTCATTTCTTCTTGCTTCACCATGGGAGCATTTCCGGCGAGCTTACCAGTTCGGAAAGAGCGATCCTTTTTAAGCTGCTTTCTTCCCTGCAGTGCCATTACATGGAGATGGATAGAGAGAGAGAGAGAGAGAGAGAGAGAGAGGGCGGGGGGGTGTCTCTCTGGTAGATTTGTCTGGAGGATGGAAGAAAGCCGTTGACAAAGCTATGCTGGTGGTGATTTCTATGGAGCAGCAGGCGGACTTCCCGACGAGCAAAAGAACCGCGGAGCATGCAGTCAAATCCACATGCAGAAGCACACGAAATCTCAAGATCCCTGTCGTCCAGGGTACAGTCGGAACCATGTGTCGTCACAGTGATTTGTACTTGGATCCCAGAAAACAAAAGAAAGAGTTCAGTAGAAATTTGAAACCGAATGCAGTTCTTTATCTCTTCTTCCTCCTCGGCATGCACTCAAGTTCATCCGTGGGTACACACAGAAGCTATGTCTTTGAGTACAGTCGAAGCCTTCTTCCCTGCAGGCCAAAGCATGGGTCACTCACTCTGACCTACTCTATATAAAGCTCAAGCGCAGATCCAACGGCGGGTCTCTTGCGGCGTCCAAGAATGGTCTTCCCCACAGCTCGCTCCTCATCGACATCACCTTCTCCTCGTCAGAGCTGCAAGACTTCAGAGGGAACAGCTCCAGCGTCTCGGTTTCTCTCTCCTGCCGCTGCCAGAACAAGTCCTGCTTCCCCTTCGTACAGCCTGCGATAGCACACAGCCTAGTTCAGTGAATGCGTGTAGCAGAGTGGATACGGAGAACAGAAGCTTCTGCAGGAGCTTTTCATCGTCATTTTATGGCGAGATTAGCTCATGGCCTGCAGCCGCTTCTTGTGACTTACGAGAGCTCGTGTGTTGAAGCTTCAACAATATATAGAGAAATGTATACGTGCATGGAGGTGGATGTATATGAACTCACTGGCTAAGCATCTGCTTCTTGCTTTCTGGTGGTCTCCGTCGTCGTCTTCTTCGTCCCGGGGGCCACGGCGGCGCTTCTTGTGGTGGCGCTCGCGGGCCTTGTGGTTCTGGAACCAGTAGAACACGTTCTTGCTCTCGATCTTGCCGAAGGCGCTGAGGTGGGCGGAGATCATCTGGATCTGGTCGGTGCTCGGCGTCCGGAGCCCGGACCGGAACAGATCCGTCAGCACCTTCACTTGCTCGGCCGTCGGGTTCCAGCGGCCGCACTTGGCGCCGGCCCTCGTCGCGCTAAACCCGCCCGACTCCGCCGCCCGCTCTCCCTCGCCCATAGCTCAGTACTCTCCCACCCTCTTTTGGCCTTTTCCTTGCCCTCAGACCTTTAAGCTCTCAGTGAGTTCTGAAATCAATAGATCCGAAGGCAGCAACTTATATACAAGTGGAAGAGAAGGATCTGGTGGCAGATCTTAAAGCTGATCCAGTAACATAATGCTCGCTCTGGTCGTGCCGGGGGGACATGCGCAAAAGCTGCCACTGTTCAAACATCTCGACCTACGAGCAGACATCCTTAGGTCATATTAATTATGGTCGTACATATCCAAGCGCCATCGTGTCTGATACATCTCTGTCTTATTGTTTGTCTTCTTATTCATGCCAATTCTTATTCTATTACTCTGACCGCTTAATCATGTTAATCTGGGCGACGGTTTGACTACTTTGATTCCAATAGTTATCGGTAATATTAGTGTTTGTGGTAAGCTTCAAACTGCACTCATCTTCTTCATCTGATTTGCCACAGAAACAAACCACTGATTCGTACTGCACTAGAAGATAGGAGGACAGTCGCGAGGCATAACTTTCGGTACTGGCCTTACAAGATTGAGGAAGATGTCATCCTTTTAGGGAGTCTAATTCACAGAACAAGTAGTAAAGGGCAGCAAGAGAAGAGGTTGTGTCTGAGAGATTTGAAGGCAGTCGAGCTTGGCTTCCTTGAGCTCATTCTTTTTGTTGCAGGGCATATAAAAATGGCGGGGGTTGGACACATGCTCCCACTTGTTTCCTTGGCTCGGATTATTATACCCCTTCCATTGACATCGTTGCTCCCACTTACTTTGCGATCTCCGGCCTCCCAAAGTTTCATGCACGGGAAATCCGTTTTGCGTGCGCTCGAGCTGCGCTTTCCGAGGCCTTCGCTCTTTTCTGGTCTTTCCCCGTTGCAACTTTGAGGCAAACAGCCCATGGTCCTCATTCATTCTACTCTTCTTTTTCTCTCTCTATCTCTACAAGCTACAGAGCTCGCGTGACTTCCCAACAGCACGATTCATGATCCACAGCACGATTCATGATCCACATCTTGAGTTTCCTCTCTCTCTCTCTCTCTCTCTCTGTGTGTTCTTGTTGCTGTATATTGCTTGTTTCATGGACACCAGCGGAAACCACCTACGTGATTTCCGCTGGTGTCTATGGAGCACAATGCCACTATTCCAGATTGGAATTCCACTTTAACGGATACCAAGGATCAAAGATGGATTTCAACAGCAGTCTCACAAAAAGAATAATAATAAATCACTAATGCATTTTGCAGACATGAAAGAAAGAAGAAACAGAGGATATATTACTTTATGTTTGGTATCTGAGGTGCAGCTCGACGTGACGACCCATTGGTCCGAATCACACGAAGCAAGGAAGAGATGGTGAAGTGTCCGTGGTAGGAGGAGGAGGACCAGTTGGCTCGGTTGTGGCGTGCTGCATGCGTGCGCCATGGAAGGGTGTGCGGCGTTCATGACACCTTTGACCAGTGCCACGGCGGGGCGGCCTTCGTTGGCCGAAGCGACCGGCGATCGAACACGAAGGGTGCAGAACAGGGCGGTCCATGGTCAAC